ATTAAGCTTATTTTAACTTGTAACGATCAATACTCTTAAGCAAACTGAAAAGACAGATGGCGAGAGCTATGCGACTCTCCCATGTTAACACTGAATTGTATTCATTGATATTTTAGAAAGCTGGATGCCAAGTAGTAGACTGTTCCATGCAGTATTTTGCATGCGGCAAATATCTTGCATTTCCTCTTTCATGCAGCCCACCTTGCTCCATAAATGGAAAAAGAGCGCACCACGAAGGATTAAACAGAATGACATTAAAAAAGCAAATCTAAACAGCTCAGGGGTTGCTTTGAGTTTCCCTTTTATTTAAGAAAACAGTAGTGCTGGAATTAGCTGCTTTTATGAAGCATTTTAAAGCCCTGCAAGCCCTCCATACACACCACTTACTTTATGGCCCCAGCTGCCCTTTTAAAGTGCTGCTCAACAAAGCTGCCGGAGAAAGTTAGGGGGAAGCCATAAAACACCCCTGACAGGGCAGTCTGGATCAGGCCTCAGAGGAGAGAGGAGCAATACGAAACTGCCCGCCTTCACCTTGTTACGCAGCGCTGCACAGCACTGCACACCCCCCACCCCACTCCCATCAGTGATGCGGAGAGCATGCTTTCAAATTGGCCGAAGGCAACTTTTTCCTCAGATCTCTCTGAAGGATCAAGATTTCACCTTAGGCAACAGACATCACGGGCAGACAGCGCTCCAAAGGGAGCTGTTTCCCTCTCCCTCATGAGCATCTCTATTCACAGCAGCTTCAGAAACAGCTGGAACACACAGCTGTGGGCTGCTGTATGCTTTGCAGTGCTCCACGTTTCTATCCCTCCATCAGCAGGTATTGTCCTATGCCTTAGCTTCCACTCATGAGCAATAATTACTACTCCTTCTGCCCTAAAACAGTATGGTAAGAAGTTCCCTAGGATGTTGACTCTTGTACATACCAAAATCGACAGGCCTACAAGGTCAACTTCAGCTTCAAATTTCTCTGCTGAATCAGCATACCGGATCACTCAATTCTAAATCACAGGTCGTCAATATGCTACTGTAATTTGCCCAAATCCCACTGCCTTTTAAACCTGCAATAAAATCAGTTCAAGATGACCACGAGGGAAAGAGTCTGATTTTTCCCTTTATGGTTTCCTTTTGTTTCCCCAGTACAAGAATCGGTAAACTTTAGAGAAAATATACTGATCTGAAGTAGATACACAGTGCCTAACGTTTGAGGCACAAAGGAAAAGAGTTACCTAAAAGTCATATACACTGGAACTTGTTCTCTCAAATAAGCCAGGGTACAGACAATTAACTTTGTTGTTATTAGGCTTTACTACTGGTACCATTACACTTTTTTGAAATCTAGTAATTTGGAGATCATTTTCAGAATCCTGGACATAAAAGGGCATGTATAAAAATCACAGAATACTCCATTAAATCTCCATTATGTTTACTTCTGAAATGAAAATCACTAAGATGAGTATTTATTCAGCTGGTTAGGCTGGGGGTATTGTCTCAAGCTTTCAGTTTAAGAGCTATGAGTAATGAAGTGATTATTACTAAAATCTACTGGATTTTTCAGTCTCATGTCCACCAATGCTACTAAAGCTTGAGAGTATCAAATGCAGCGCTTCTGAGACGGCTGTTTTGGGCAACAAAAAATATGGAGTTATAATATTCAAAAGAATAACTATGAGTCATTGTTATGAATAACTGAAGAACTTACAGCTTTTAGTACGTAACCAGACTTCAGCAATCAGTTTCTAGGTTAAGCATATTTTCCATTCATTTACATTTTGCTTTTAATGGAATCAGAGATTAGCTGTGACATTTTGGGGTCTCCTGAATCAGTTGGTGAGGTCTCAAAAGTATCTTTTAAGGCCACTTCATCATACTGATAGTGAAGACTGCAGACCTGAAGCTTGCAATGGATCAGAATTCCCTGCAGATCTGCAAGTCACCTGTGCATACCCAGCCCTTGCAGAAACAACACACATGTCCATGCTGGTACAGCAGGACCGTGGGTGTTTGCACTTGCTGAAGCAGGGTCTTGTACAGGTTTGTGGATCCTTCTATTGCACTTCAGAACAATGAAAGGGTTTTGTATACTTATGCACTGTCAACATAAGCGTCCATGTCCCTTTTGCAACAAACATGCCAAGAACTCTTCATTTGCTCACATTTCTCTCTTTCTTTCCCTCCCGCTTCCCCATTTATTAGAAGAAATTTAATTATCGTTTCTTTTTTGGGAGTCTCCATGAATCTGATCCTTATCTTCCAGATACAATAGTGCAAATAAGAGACAGATGAAGACAACAAGCAACCAAGGAGGATCACGTATCAACAAAACAATGTGCTATAAAGAGACAATTTACTTCTCCTTTGGGAAGGGGGAGTATTTTTTGGCAGGCATTTGTACAGCATCTAGTTCAATGAAGTCCTTTCCTAGAATGTGTTACAGCAATGGGCGTAAGTACTTAGATTTCAAGCAAAAAACTGCATTTGCAGACAAGTTCAAATCCTTCCTGTATGGACCCAGAAAGGTCCTCAACTGAGTTTCAACTTCAGGAAAAATTAGATGTCTTGTAGAACTCAAAGTCACAGTGGGTGTCCTCCAGAGGTCACAATGTTGATAGGAAACAGCCTTTAAATAACTCGGAGCAAGTAGAAGACTGACAACCTCCAGTGAAAAAAAAGAGACTGGCATCATAGAAATGAGGGAGAGAGAGGAGTGAAATTAAAAAAAAAGATGGGAATACAGAAACAAGAGGGATAGAGAATTGCCCAGTGCCATTAGTGCACAGAAATTTGACGCCAAAAGAGAGAGAAAGTTCAGAGGTTCAAACAATAGGGAATGAGAATGAGACATCAAGAGAGATTTATGGATTCCTAATCAACTAGCACACTAACTCAGCCTGAAGCACTAATTTATGACTGACAGTTCCTCTTCGTTAGGATTTGGCTTTGTCAAAGTAGTACCCCACAACCACAGATAAACACGGGTTCATTACAACTTGACAACAGCGAAGCAAACCTGAGACGAGGACATACGACAGCGTATATGCTATGACCATTTTTAACTGCATCTGGCACATCTGTATATGGTCGCAGACAAGCTTCACTGTAGCTATAAAGAGGCTGTATCACATAAGAGCTGTACTTTTTACTACTACACTTCAAAGCTCAGACTGTAGACCAGCATCTGCTAAACTACTCACTGTCAGGATTTCACCCCTCAATCCAAAATAACATGTTTTAGACGGGAGGACATTTGGACACTTACCCTTTAGCCAAACCATTTTGATCATTTTTAAGAGCCTAGTCTTCTGACATGTTGGTTAAAACCCTGCTTTGTGGGCCATACCCATGAGAAAGAGAGATTTTTATGAGGATCCAATATCAGATGATGGAAAGATGTAGGCAGTGAGCCTAGCCATCATTCAGCTCTTGAGTTAAAGAACAGGAAATAACCAAAATGAACAACATCCAAAAATAAATAACACAGGTAATAAGTGACTAACTACAGCTACTCCATGCCAAAGTCAGTCAAGTTACGATTGCTGAACTATGCCTCCATGCTTTACCTGGTACATGTGTTAACAAGAACTGTACTTTTACAGTTCCTGCCATTAAAAATAAATACATCGTTTATTAACATGGCTAAAAATATTAGCCACATAAAAGGCACGGTTCAGTAAACTAGAACATCCCATCACCAACAAGTAAAGTAAACTTTTGGAAAATTTTGCCTGAACAAGGCATTTTTAGCATACATTTATACATATTTTTTATTAACTGCAAGAAAGCATTAGATGGAAGACAAGTAGTCTGTGGGGTAGTTTTCTCGGAGTCTGTTTACATTATGCTGTAAGACGATACAGTTTCTCAACACAAATGCAGTTAGCATCATACAACTCTGCAATCCACAGCTGCCACGTCACAAGCCCTTTCAGACCAAGACCTTCACTAGCAATTGTGAGTGCTTAGCAGACTGGATTTTTGTTAGGAGAAGTGAAATCACAGCGGAATGAGGAAGCCCACACCTCAAGCCAATCCTAAAAATGTGAAGCGTGCACAATTTCCCACACCGTCGGGCTAACCTGCCATAGCGCTGGGCTGCTGACATGACCTTAATGCCAGCTTCTTCGAGTCTTCTTAACTTCCTGATCTCTTCTGCATCTCTCCCCTTGGGTGCTGATGCTTCTTTTGCACTACGTGAGGGAGACTGGTCTATGGAGTTTCCTTCATTTTGATTCAAACCTACTTGATTTCTAACAAGGCTTGCCTCAGGAGCCATGGAGCCCTCTTTCTCCTTTTCACACTGTCCTGATGTTTCATTCTGTTCTTCTTCTATGGTTTCGGGGTGGGTTTTGCTAGTGAATTACACAAGGTAGTTTAATGTACGCAATGCCTGAAACATATACACTTACTTATTATAAGCACATTCTGTTGATATCAAGACACCAAAGGGTATTCTGATGAATGATCTGGGAAGATAATTATGCTCGTTAATGGCAGTTGCTTCTTAGGCCAAACCAAAGGTGCAGTATCAGTTGACAAAACCAGCACGCACAAACGCACAGTCATAGCTATATAAACTGTACTGGTGTAGAGAATACAACATACCAATACATTTATTTTAAAAATCACAGCAATAATATTACCTATTTTGATTGAATACATCAAACGTTCCTCATGAGTGTCATTTGTCAGTAACCATCTTAAAAACTGAGATCATCCAGAACATTTTTGTCCAGCCTTGGGTTTGAGTCAACATCTTTCAAAACACAACCTATACATTGCATTATACTGTAAACAATAATGACATCATGACAATGATTTTCCACTCATTGCTCTTCTACTGCCTTTGCCAATTGCTACAAGCAATTTATCAGTACCATCTCAGCAGGAGATTTACTACAGCGGAAGGCACTTCATACATCTCATGAAAAGAATGAAAATCAGGCAAGCGTTGAAGCATCAGCCCTAAGGAAGGGAGAAGTGGGGCAGGCCAGTCTTACCTGAAAGGTCTGTCTCCTAGCGGTGAAGTAGCCGTGCTCCAGCTTTTTCGGTACTCTTCTCGTTCAGCTTTCTTTTTCCGAAGTGGGGCGGGTACATAGAAAGTCTGATTACTCTTGTTGGGGAGGTACTGGTTAAAAGGCACAGCTGATTTAGGTTCACCGTGTGAGGTCCGCCTCGCCAACATATCATCTTTTTTCACATCTGGCATCTTTCTGTGTGGCAGGTCAGTTTCTGAGTCACTTCCTCTCCCTAGTGAGGAAGAAGGAAAAAAAAAATCCCTCATCTTTTCCTTTCCATTTTTTAAAAAACTATACATCAGAGAAGATATGACTTAAAAGTGACATTTAGCATGTCAGCACCAAAGAATGAAGCCATTTTTACCTGTATTTATATTTTAAAAGAATCAGTCACTGAAGATAATAGCCATAATATCTACACAGACAATAAACATTTTTTTCATAGAATCACAGAATGGTTTGGGTTGGAAGTGACCTTAAAGACCATCTAGTTCCAACCCTCTGCCATGGGCAGGGACACCTTCCACTAGACCAGGTTGCTCAAAGCCTCATCCAGCCTGGCCTTGAACACTTCTAGGGATGGGGCAATTTTTCAATCAGTCCTTATTTTCTACCCTGAAAAACTCACCTTTAGGCACAGATCACATCAAAAAACTCAGGGTCAGATTAAGCCCAACTTGTCAGTCACACAGGACAGCCACAGCAGCTTACCTGACTTCTGCCCAAGTGACTCCTAGTTGCCCATATGGGTACACTTGATCTGATTCACACTCTTGAACCTAGACTTACACGTGCATAGCACAAGCTCAAGCAAAACCAGGGCTGCATGCTGTGTATTTATAGAATACCAGGGATTTGTGGATGTTTGTACAGACACATGTTAACAGCACTTTGAATTCACACAGCTTCAGCTTTGATCAAAATCTAAGAATAAGCGTCAGCTGCTATAAAACAGAAGACTCGGAAGACATCTTTCCAGTCTCAGTGGTTGTCTGGTCAATACATCTAGCACACTGCAAAACAGACAGAGAGACTTGATCCTCCAGTGGAAAAGGACAAGGAGAGAGGGAAAGGACCTCAGGATTTAGAGGTTAGACCAGTACAGAAATACTAAGGAGTACTTGCTGGGAAAGAAATCAGGTGAGAGAAAAAAAAGTGAAGAATTACAGAGAATAAGATGGGGGATCAACAGAGCTGAGTGATTACATTGTTCAAATGAACTAAGCTTCCTGATATTTACACCCATTTAAAAAGACCAAACACATATTCAGAGAAACTTAGGCAAGACACTTCCATCTTCAAAACAAACTCCCAAATGGTAGGAAAAATACCTTAAGGAGCATTTGCAGTGGAACTGCCCTCACAGCCATTTTGGAAGCCACTTCATAGACATTCACTAGATTCCCTGCACCATCTTGAACCTTTTTAAGTAATTCACAAAGAAGCTATATAAATAGTTTTCTCCCAGCAGTGTAACATCACCACAGGCCCCAGTATGAAGGGTGAAATGGAACATATTCAGCCATTTCTCCCACTTGCATTCAAACATTCTCCCAGCTTTGGATCGTTGGATCTCTCTGGTCCTTGGCCCCTTTGCAACACTTGCATATGCAATAGCTGTTTCCCCTCTGGGGTGAGGGGAAGCCACCCAGGTTGTGTCCTCTTGCTAATTCACCACTCTAGTAAATTACTAGCTAATTCACTGAGCTACCTAATGAACAACTTAAAACAATGAAGTAATGAAAATCACAAGTAGCTTGTGTATAATTCAAAGTGGGGGAAGGAAAAGAGGTCTAAATATGCTAGGAATGTTACTTGCAAAGAGCTTTTGGAGCAAACTAAGTTATTCAATGTTTTCTTGGAGAGAGACAGAAGAGTGAAAGGGATCAGTGAGAAAAGACAAGACACAATGGAAATGAGCTAGTTAGACAAGAATCACAATGCACTTTTTGCGAGTAATCTTTGGCTGGAACAACTTTGGTTAAGAGCATATGGTAACTAGCACTGTGATGGGTAACCTGAGTCGATGTCTAAACAAAAAGTGGAGACACAACTGCAGAATCGTGGGTGTCTGAGGACAGCTGAGGTTTGCAGAGCTGTAATATCGTTAGACTGAGCAGGGCCACAGAGGAGCAAAGAAGAAAATTAAAAGATCCCTTACTGCTATTTGCTATTCTGTTTGGTCTTGACTTTGTTCTGCTGTTTATTTTTGTATCACATGAAAACCAGTCTTGAACTGGCAGATAGAAACGCTGGAATAGATAATCACAGTAGCAGAGGAATTAGAACAGATTCCTCTCCTTCATTAGTGATGTGCCTACCAGCATCCCCAAGGTGAGTACTTCGAAGACAGCTTCTTTAATTATTCATATTTTACTCATGAACTTATCTTCAGCTCAAATTTGCAAAATAAGCACTTGAGGCCAAAGCACCGAATGGAAGATGTAGCTGTGCTCTACATTCATAACCTTAACTTTGTTGTTCTGCACTTCCAAGTAGCAGCAGCCAGTTTCCACAACCTGTAACAAGCAGTTATACACCGGAGACACACACAGATCCTTCCTACAAGGATCCATGCACAACTGTTGGCCAACCAGAGGATTTTATTCATTCGCACTTGAGGCCAAAGCACCGAATGGAAGATGTAGCTGTGCTCTACATTCATAACCTTAACTTTGTTGTTCTGCACTTCCAAGTAGCAGCAGCCAGTTTCCACAACCTGTAACAAGCAGTTATACACCGGAGACACACACAGATCCTTCCTACAAGGATCCATGCACAACTGTTGGCCAACCAGAGGATTTTATTCATTCCTGCAGGTCAGTCTGCAGTTCTACAAACTGCTCTGCTCTACCATTGTTTTTTTTTTGCATTTTGCCAAGGGACAGGATCCATATAGGACATCAGACCATTCCTCAACAGTGTGGCTGATCATAGATGGCATTCGTGAAGGTATTACTTACTGCTTCCACCTAAACTAATTATCACCTTAGGATGACTTCAATGATCTCCATTCATTATTTTTTTCCTGGAAGCGGAAGGAACCATAGTTTTATTTCACTATCATATTATTGGGTTTATAAAGCTCCTATGTGAATGGAGAGAGAAGTATTGCAAGCAGAACATCTTCTTCCATCCATCTTTGCAGATACAGTATTTCTATCAAAAACTATGTGCAGCTGAGTGAAACACTGGCCTGCTGGGGCCACAGGAAGAGGTTAGACAGAAAAGAGGTCAGCCAAGCTACACCTCACCTGCAACTCTTGGAGGAGACAGCTGTGAACTTATGGCTGCAGCAAGCCAGGAAAATGGGATGTACTAGAAAGGGCCAGCTGGACAAATTGTATGTGTGCACACAGCATCTGCAGGCACCCTGGGTCTGGATATGGTTAAAGACTAATTTTTAAGAACAAGATTTGTATGCTTGCATCTCATTTTGTGTTTGTTAGGGACTCAAGAATGTGAGAAGATAGTATGTCATAGCTGCGGCACGCAAGCCACAAGCACAAAACCTTACTAAATTGTGCTAATACAGCAGAAGTCGATAGGAAGCAGCTACAGGACATGTGTACCTGGATGCCCACCAGCTCCAAGCAGGCAGAGGCAACAGACCCTCCTTGAGCACTCAGGGTTGATTAGGACATATGAGGTGTTCCTCTTTGCCAACAGCACACTTCTGTCTCATTTGGGAAGGCAGAAAAATGTTTTTCTAATGTAGAGACTGCGCTCTCTTCAGTTTCTGAAGGGGGCATGAGGCTGCTTTAGGGAATCAGCTCCAGTAGCTGGTTCTGGATGGTCAACAAGCAACAGCCCCAGTACCACAGGCCACTCACAACAGCAGAGCAGATCTCAGCCCTGCTTTCCCCACAGCTCTTTCATAATTCAGCTGTGATACCAGCTCCCCTCGTCAGCGTTTCTGTTTAAGGAGTTCCCCATCACCTCAGGAAATCTCTCATGTGTCCAGTTATCATTAGCACCAGTTTCTTTCACCCTGCCAAAATCAGTATGAACACCTGGTTCCTACCAAAAAGTCTTTCTGCCCTTCCTTTTTTTATTAAATAAATAACATTACTAAGGAGAAGCAATTAATGTGTGGAACATAACTTCATCCGATGATGAAGTTTGACCGGTTCATCCATTCATCGGGAATGTGACCGTGCAGAGGGAGCCTCAAGCCAGCAGCCTGTTGTTCTGAACCAGAATCCTGCTCATGACAGGTAACCTAAAGTGCATGCTTCAAACCTACCCCTAACAAACCCTTCCTTATCCATCATGCTGTCTTTACAAGCCTCTGGAATCCTCTGGGAATCAGACAAGAAAGGCAGAGAAACAGCACCCCTTCTGTAAGCCTAGAGCTGCTTGTCCTAACCCAAAGGTTTACAAAGATGGCCACAGGTCTGATGCCGGGAGCTATTAATTTACCCAATTATCTAAATACCATGAAAATAAATATAACATTTGGTAAAATGTTGCATATCAGACTTCATACCTCTGCCAAGTATCAGAAATTTCCAAGATATTTCTATATCATTTATCTGCCCAGGATTTACTTAGGCAGCATTTTATTTACGTCAGTATTTCCCTTGCTCCTGAGCTTTTTACTTCCTGCTCCCACCTAGTTTATAAGTTAAAATGAGTCTGCATAACATCCTCTTACACCTTAACCGAGAAAAGCACTCTCCCCATCATAAAACTACACTGGAATGATGTAACTCATTTTCCAATGCTACGCTGTCCTAAGACAGACTTCAAGTAAGTTGTTGGCAAAATCACCTAAACCTCAGGGAGCACAAATCAGCATTCACAGAGAAGTTGTCCCCCTGGATTAGTCCCCTGTGTCCAGCTTACGAATGGCACATTTGTTCCCAAAACGCTACATACATGTCCCCAAGTTATGCATGTGCCGCACCGTGACCGGTACTTACCATCGCTGCTCCCTCTGAGCACTACATCTGGAGATGGTGTCTGCTGCGAGCGGGAGCCAAAGGAGTCCAGGCTGTCAAAGGAATCATCTCTGCCGTGGCGAGGTGGGGAGAGGGAATCGCTGCGTTCAGAGTCCCAGCAGTCTATGTAGCCGCTGTCACGAATGCTGCGCTTTGGGCTCTCAATATCCTCCGTTTCCTACATGGAAGTACAGCAGGTACCTCTTCACAAAAAAGCCACTGAACATACCCCTGAGATCTGTTACACATCAGACAACAACGCAACTTCCCAAATACTAAAAATCTCCTCCAAAAAAAAAGGTTTTGCTCATTTTCTACCCCTTCTCCCCTTCGAAACAAAAGTACGAGCGTGCAGTAAACCCCAATTTTATGCTGACCGAGAGAAAACCCCGCTCATTACATCAGTACGATGAACTGAGAACAAGTTGCAAAAGGCAAGTTAATAAACGGATCAAAACGGAAAGTAACCTGTAACTTAACTTGTCGTCCACAGTCCATAGCACAGGCAAAGGCACTACAATTTTAACATCATGCCTGCATCAGGTTTAAGTCTGCTGCTTTCCAAAAGATTCCCGCCTCCCCTTGCCCATCTATTGTATCTGGCCGGGACACCAGCAGACAGCCATTTGTTGTTGCTGCTTCAGCTCGGCAAAATAATGAAGCAGTGTGCCCCAGCCTCCCTCTACCTTGAAGAGAAATTCCTGTTATGAAAGAGGGATGTCTTTCTGAAGCAATCAGCAATGAAAAATATGCAAAATGCTTTTCCTGATGCCTCAGAAGAATTCAGTTGTGCTCTTTACTCTTTGCCAGCTCCTGGCTCTGGGGGATATGAAAGCACTTGTAGCTGACCCACATGTTCAGAGCAGGGAGAACAATGGTTGTCTTTGACAGCCCTGTGATTATAAATTCTTTCCAGTGCAAGCAGCACATACTAAAACACTGAAACTCCAGCAGAGGAAAAGGTCAATAGAAGCCATCCTCACCCTTGCATTATAATAAATCCCTTGTTTTAGAGAGCGTCTTAACATTAATTACAATCACACAGGCTGAGAAACACCAAAAATAACTACTTCTACAGAAAGATAAATCTGTTTTTTTCTCCCCCGACAGTAAGTAAAGTCAGAGATGTGGGTGCCATTATCAGACTGACATTCTGTGACCCAAAGAGGTTGGAATGTGATTTTTTTCTTTTTTTCCCCTAGAAGCATTTGAATATTAATTCCTAATTAAGAAACACCCCCTGCTTACCACTAGCTGGAGCACAATGGCTGTGTTGAGCACAGCTCCCACTGCCCTTGACTGCTAAAGTTTTACCCGTTCCTACTACCACCACTGAGAAGATCAATCCAGAACACCACAGTACGCTACGGCAGGCCACCTCCACAAGAAAGCGGGTTGGGATTGCTGCAGGAGTGCAGAACACACCAAAAGCTTTCATGCTGGAAAAGAGGGAGGCTCAAAGCAAGATGGAGCGATCAGACCCAACGTCCTGCAGACTTTTCAGGAAGAAGGCTTAATTAGTGCCACTCACCATTACGCTGCCAAAATACCACATTAAGGGCAGCGGCAAAGGTCCCCTGAGGCCAAGCTAAACTGTGCTAACGTCAGTAAGTAACCTCACTGCAAACTGAAGTATTTTCTAAAAACGAGTAAAATTCATCTAATAAAGTCGTAACTGGATCCTATGTAATTTCCTTCCCTAGTCCTGCATAGTGAACTAAAATACTGACAGAAACACGAGACAACAAAGATCTGTCCCCCTGAAATCTGCACGAGTTACCTCCAAGAACAAATCTAAAAATCCTATCAAAATCCTGTTTGTGACATGATCCAAAAAATCTTTCTAAAAATCCAAATTCCCTAAGTCCCCTCATCCCTTCATACCAATCAGCTCTTCTCAATCCTCAGGCACACTTCCATTTTCCTAAATTGCTGTATTTGAATGACACAGAACTGCTCAGCACCTACAGGGACTTAGATTCAGGCAAAAAGGCCCATCCTGCATTCACTATCTCCCAGAATTTGAAAACAGTCCAGTTGTGAACTAATGAGTTCTGCAGACCCTACTTTCAAAGGCCTGTTGCTGTTAATTTTGCATGTCACTCACTGGGAATTAGGAGGCAGGCATCCTAGACTTCTGTAAACATGTTCTTTACAGCCTTCCCCTTGGCAAAGCTACTCCCCCAGCCCAAAGCCATCTCACAGACGGGTACTTGTCCTGCTCTGAGCAAACGTCATCTCCCAGTTGTTATCAATGGGAAAAAGAAAGTGGTTATCTGCAGGACTGATAATACCGTAACACGACACATAACAGCACGTTAGTCTTTTATATCATCTAATTAAAAACACACTGTGTCACCGAGTGGTAGTAAAAACGTGATTGCCAAATAAGATGCGTTTCTCCAGGAAGTTCCACCCACTAAATATAATGAAAAAGCCATGGACGTTTTGTCATTGGGAATTTCCAGTTTAAAAGTAAAGAAGAATTTGTATCCAAATAGTTAATGAAATTAAAAGCAGAGCAGCATGAATAAAATTAGAAATGAATAGCCCTTTCAGTATGAGAAGTAGAAAAAAGATGAGTCCGAGACAACTTACATCCGAGCTGCCTTTTGATTTGCTTATTAAAAAAGGAGGGCAGAGAGGATTTATAACAGAAAAACTAAACCAGACTTAATTTATGGCAGATTTAATTATTAAATTCTGTGGAAAAAAGTGCCAGTAGAGAATGTGATAAAGTGTCTTTTCATCACTCAGGCTCAGCTATAAAGAACATCAGTGTGTTGCACAGCATGATTAACATGTCCTATTTTACAACCAAATCCTCTTCAAATTCAGTAACAGACAAGCTCACAACTGCCAACAGGAAATACAGCAGGGGTACAGGAGAAGGGAGGTGACCTTAAAACACGTTGCCAGCAGCCCTCGTAACAGTACCACCTAAACAAGACTTTTCAGGACTGCAAAGTGCTCTGTTCTTATATTAAAAGAATATATAGCTTTCAGCTCCTATGAGATCTCTACTCTCCTCTCAGCTCCAACATCTGCAATGATTCAAGTCCCAGCCTCTTGTTTTTGTGCTCAACCTGCAGTGCCCTGCACTGCCCAGCCAGGCGCTCCACGATCACCAGCTCCCCAGAGAATGCTGCCTTTTGGTCCCAGTCCACTTCATCCCACAAAATGACTCAAGATGTGTCCTCCAGAATGCTCCGATAATTAGTTTGATGGGTAAACATCACCTGGAAAAACCGAAGTCTCATGCTGCGAGATTAAACATTATAAAATAAACTACGATACCATTATAACAATTGCACTCGGGCAATTTTTCTGCTGTTAGCTCCCTTGCCCATCTTTGTTTCACCTTTCAGACTCCTTGGAGTGGGGACTGCTCCTTCCCTGTGTCTTCTCTTTGGAAACAACCCAAGTATTAACTTCATTTCTTTATTGCTTGGTCTCAGTCATATCACTCAAGTGGCAAAGTCCCGAGCAATTAACGCAGGTCATTTCAAATGAAGACCAAACTAAACCTCTACAGAGAAGCTGGATGTTCTCTTTTCCTCTCCATTTCCATCTGCTTGTTCACAGGAACTCAGCTCACAAACAGGGATTTTACTCATTTAGTTAATGCTCTCCAGTCACATTAGGGTGGAGAAACTGTTATCAGTCAACCAAATATTCCTTCCTCCCCAGCAGAAATCCAGTGCTGGCCCTCTGAGATCCCAGAATGAAGGGATGGCGCAGATGCAGTAGCACAGATCTCAAGGAGAGTAAACAGCAGAGTCTCCCACAGTCCCCAAACCCTACTGCCTGTGGTTACCCGGCTGTTACATGAGATGGGGAGAGAGTAGCTGGCACGAAGCTCTCTGTGGGCTGGAGAACATATCTGCATGGCCTTTCATGAGCAGCATGTCCAAGACATGCAGTGCTAGCACCAGGTGCTGCCGTCTTCTACCACGTCTACTCCTTGCCCCTTCCATCATCAGTAGGTGCATGCTCGGATATCAGCACTAACCATTACTGACGTTAAGTGTCTCATGTCAAGGTTCAGGGCATGGTGGAGTGCTCAACCAAAAGTCCCCAAACCACCCTAGAGCAATCACCACTTTTCCTTTCCAACATAGCTCAGCTCTTCATAAACCACCAAATACAATTGCAGCCAGAATTTAGAGCTTGGCAAAACATGGGTTCATCATAACTATGCCCTTGGTGAAACATAATCTCCTGCTTCTGCCCTTCAGCTTTATTTAGAGACTTTGGTTTGATGCTTTATGTTGCAAGAGCTGCCCATGAAAGCAGTGAATGTTTTAAAGAAGAAGAATCTCTGCTCCTGTGAGTCCTGCTGCCTTACTTTTGAGTCTCAGCTCTTCTAGCTGAAGCTCTGTGTCATAAATAAAAATAATTCAGACAAAAACCTGTGGAAATGAAGGTGACAGAGCCACATACCAATTCTAAAGCCCTGTTCAACATTGTGTGCTGCATCACTGATATCACCATAAAGCTGGTTGCCAAAGAAAGCTGTGTCCGTGGCTTGGTAGAGACAGAAACATTTCTGTAGGAGGTAGGGGTTTCCTGAGTGATTTGTACTCCAGTCCCCCAGTTCTCTTTTATTTAGCAACAGACATGTTATTTATGGGAGTAAGAATTCAAATGAAATTTCCATCCCCAAAATGTAACAAAAAGATACCTTTCTCATTTGCGCCAGTAAACCTTCAAATTCCTTCAGGTTCAGGGTTGATCCACTATACGTTGTGCAGCTGTTTGCCGCTTTCCCTAGCCAATAAATGGTGACTAATACCTGCAGAAGTGAATAAGAATTAATTGAAGCCATCTACACAATTACTTAGCTAAAGTTACTTCCCTTAAGCATCTCATTTATTCTAAACTGCACAGCAGTACAAGGTTTTGTTATAAATCAGAAGCGAAAGAGAAGTGTCTGTCAGTGGTTAAACATAAATACATCAGGCAACTATGAAAATTTAAACAGTCCTACAGAATATGTAACTTAACACATTATCTTCTTGGTATTTTTATTTAAAAAAATGAAACTGTCATGTCTGCCTGGAAAACAAACAGCAAAAAATTAAATCTGAGTAGACAAACTAGGCAAGATACCTGAAACTGTCTAGAAGATACACTTATAAATGTTATCTGTTTGTAAATCCAATAGGAAAACATCCCTAGAGAGTATGAATACTAGTGGTCATTAATTAAAACCATTAAGACTAATGGAATAAATAAAACATCTGAAATGTGTGCCTGACTATTTCAAGGACAGAAAAGGTAGTTTCATCTTTAATCGTGTTAATGTAATTAACCAGCTGACACTGGAACATTTACTTCCAGACTTCTGCTAGCTTAAGAAATGCTTAGCCCAAGATTAAGCGAGCATCTGGTTGTTTCTATCAGACTAAACCGGAAAGAGTCAGTGGTTTTGTTCAAGTTCTGACCTGATGTCCCTCCATAACTCAAAAATCACTTCAAAACTAGTGTGGAAAAAAGCGCCAAGAATTGCTCTTGCAAATGTTTATATACCCTCTCACTCCTTTAGGTAGCGAAGAAGTCTGATCTGACGCTGCTGGTGCTGCACTTGTTTTACGAAAGGAGAAATTAAGATGCCAAGGATGGTCAAATCCAACATCTCCAAACCCACTGGTATTTATATCATGCAGGGAAAGCAAACAGTCCTCCTCTGCACCCACATATGTCTCCACTTAAAGCAATGTCTTTAATGGTACCTGTGCAGCAGCAATTTGGACTGGAAACTGATCGTCAAAGGCAATTCAGTTCAGCATTTTGCACTGGTTAAAAATACCAAACCATCACCTCAGAGCTCACGGCTTTTTCTCATTTAATGCTCATTACTTCTGCATGTTCTGTGACATTGCAAAGTATTTAACGGCAGAGCAAACAGGAAACATCTTGATGTGGAAAAGATGTGCAACCAATAATAAATAATAGTTGCCATTAACTGTCTCAAAAAAGTTAAATAAACTGAAATACAGTATTTTATGTTTTGATGGGCCAGGGCCATATAATTCATACTATATAGTGAACTAAAGAAAATTAGGACTTGGATAAAACCCAAGAGGGTGTTGAGGACAGACATTTCTATCACACTCTTCTTCCCTGAAAGATGCACCCCCATTCCTCCAGTGCTCCCTCCTCCGTAACATACGCTAGACCTCTGATTAGCCTTTTCCGATCAATTTTCCCTAAGATTCCCATCTTTCATTTGTGTGTGATGTCTAAAGTCACACGCAACACTCCAGCTGAGGCCCTGCCAGAAGGGAGCACAGAATGTGTCATACAGATTCCCTGCCACAAAACAAAACACAAGTGTAGGGCATAATTTCAATAATATACATTTCATGGAGTAACCAAATATAACATTTTTAGTAAAGTTCAAAAATTTAACCCTCGTTTTTAAAATTACATTAAAAATAATACTATTGTGCTGAGGGAAAGGAGGTGGTTTCACCAATACTGATCTTTTTTTGTCTTGAAAAAACCTCTATCTGAACTGTTTTCCTTCAACTAGCACTACTCAACAAATTTATGTAAAAAATTCTTACAGTACATGTTCTCAAGTTAAGTGAAAACATTTGCAAATATAGTACTCCTAGCAACCAGGAAAGTGTCCAATTCGTTTTGCCATTCAGTTCTCTGATGAAGGTTGTGGCATTTTTATTTATTTCTGCTAGCATTTGATCACTTTCTCTCTTCTTCCTTTCTTTATCCAAATAATGTCACATTTGCAAGCAATTCCAACTGGCTGCCAGCTGAAGTTGCAGGATCATGCACCTGGAAAGCATATATTGCCTACAAGCACATTGTGAAGGACACTTTTGAAACTCTACCTTTATAAGAACGCATCTGTACAAAGATACTCAGCCAGCGCCCACAAGGGTGCTAAAAGCCAAAGCTGAACTCCTCCCCTACAACTTGGTGTGCTGGTTGTGAAACATATTACCCTAATGATGATGGGAAAGACAGGATGAAATAAATTTGGTTTGGTTTTTGGGTTGGGTTTTTTTGTTCGTTCTTAGGAAGTTTTATTTATTTTTTACCTGTAGTCATCATTACTGGCTTGCAAAGTTATTAGGAAAAGATCTTAGCATTTCCTCGCAGTTTACAGGGATGTAAGCCAAATATAAAACTGGATTTATAGCAGTTTAAAGCTGACTAAGGACAGACGGCTTGCTAGGCTTTAGGAGAATAACTAACTCAGAGACCAACAAAGTTTAGCCATTTTCTTTTCCACTTAACAATTACAGGATCCATTACCATTGCCATTAATTCAAATCAACAAGCGATTAAAGTTAGATGGGATTAGACGTTCTGGGAAAACACTAATTTATTTGAAAGAACAATGAGAAAGTTGGCAAATCCAGCAGTGAAGACTTGCATTCAGTTCTAAGGATCATTTTGCTTCATTTTAAATGCTTTGCGCAAATTTACTTTATGCCCTATATATTCATGAATGGCTACAAAGGCATAGCTTCCTGGGTGAGTCAGACCATTCCCAGTAAAAACTACAATGGACAGCACAGAGATTGCATTATTTATTCTTTATTTAAGCAGAAACAAACATTCTCCATTTTATTTCTATTGTAAGGCTGCTGTGCCATAGCAGCTCTACCTAAATTTCCAATACACCCTGGCTAGGTTGTGTTCAGAAGAACTTTTCAACACTACTCATATGTACTCAGGTTTTACTGACACAATTCTTGCTCAGGCCAAATACAGGATGAACCAGACAAAAAGAAAAAATACTCCAAGTCATGTACTTACATTTTTCAGCTTCCTACTATAGTCAGCGTTCCTGGTTGCACACACACACACAAAAAATAAAGAGAGGAAAAAAATAATGAGAAAGCAGACACTTTCCAGGAGCGTGTATGCAGCAGATCATGTTTTCCCTAACAAAAGCCTGCAGAATGCTTCTGCTGGCTGGAAACACATGAAAGCTAAGAAGATGTAGTTCACACATACATTTATTCATAACATGGGAGTATTTTGTCACCATTGCTTCAATCATTAAATCAGAATTCTGGAAGTACAAAAAGAAAATGTGTTTATAATGGTCTCGCAGTAAAGTAGGACAGTGCCAAAGATATTTCCTTTAAGCAGAGTTGCTGATTTGTTCAAAAAAAAGAAGAACAAAGTGCTCGCTGCTTAAATGTGTTCTGCAGTAATCCAATAGTCAGATCCTGCTCTGTGATAAATCATGCAATCCATACAGATTCTGGAAGCAAGGGAACATGCACAGGAGACTGAGGGAATCATCACAAACATTAAGGATACGGAGCAGGTGCTTCTGCAGAAACAAGCATCACAAAGAACAAAGCAGATGGGTAAAGCAACAAAGATCCTGCCAATTACAACTGAACCTGCTGTGGAAAACATACTCTATTTTTTGAATGTATATTCAAGCACTCAAACTGAACACTGGCATCCTTCTCAATTTATTTTTTCACCAGCGTTCAGCAATAAGGATGGAAGTTTTATGGTAAAACAACAAATCACAAAGTTTGCACAAACATAAACATTTCAAAATTCAGCAAAGAAACCATTAAAAAAAGAATGAAGGAAATGTATCACGTTTAGATGCTGAAAAACAAAGACAACTAGTCCAGATTTAGTACAGATTGTCTCCCCATTATTTATTATGGAAGCGCCTTCTAATATAACAGTAAGTCAACTCCAGCATTAAAGGCTACCTGATAAAACCAAAAATAAATGTACTTAAATCTGTGAGAACAACAAAAGCCTAAATATAGGCAATACTAAACCGAAGTATTTTTGATAACATCTCTTTTAAGCCAAATTTTATCTACCAATACCCACATATTATGGAAATTAAAACAGCCCTATTTTTTATTAAAATAGCAGTGGAGGAGTGTTGTTTAACAAGTCAAGAAGAAATTCTTTACAGCATTAGCTCATAACTTTTACAAGCTGAATGTTCCAAAAAAAATAGTTCTAATGCATACTTCAATTAACATCTATACAAAACAAAATGGTTACAAAGGCATTATCTTAATCATGTGCAATAATGTCATATTCATCCTTTACCACAGAACAAATACTGTTTTTACCATGTTTAAAAATTAACCCAAAAGTCTTCAAGAAGTGGGGGGGAGGGGTGGGGAGGAAATCACCTCCATGCTTTGGGAACTAGCTAGCAGAAGATGGTCTTGAACATGTTTCTCTACAACAGTCATGGACTTGGCTTGTAATCCGCAACTCAGTTACTCAGCGTGGACTTGGACAGTGCTAGGAAAACATTTGGCTCATTTCCACAGCTGCTTTCTCTGAAGGGTTGATGGGGAAAAAATTAAAAATCCACGCTAGGGAGACACTTCCCATTTATCTAGCATGACACTGAGCAGAGGTCCAAGCCAGCTCTGTGGAGCTTCGTACTCGTGGCTTAACTTGCTTACGTGCTGGACAGCTCTCCTTCCCAGCCTCTCAACATGCCTCCTCCGAGGTCCTCCACCACCTCCAACCCCAAAAGATCAAGCTTCTTACCAGGAAGAGCCCTTTCTCTGGTTTTATATGGAGATGAGGGTTTTATATAGAGATTAGGGACTGTTTTGTGACTCCCTCCAGCCACTCATTGTCATGATTGTACAGGATGTTGTGAAGAACATCTTTGACTGAATTATTACCAGATTTAGAAGAAACACATTGCATAGCCCTCTCTCTCTGGTATGCACAGTCAAGAAGAACCTCCTATTAGAGGCAGAAACTTGGAAAAGAGCAAAAAAGTGGGAGACTGTTCCTTAAAACAAGGGAAGTGACCACTTAGATTTTCAGAACCTTTGAATTTTCCCAGACAGTGCTTGAACACCATGAAAACTTGCCCAGCTTCCACTGCCAGAAGGGGGGAAAAAAAAAAAAAATTGAATGCCACTGAAATTTAGTAAATTGTTCCCACATACTTTTCTAAAATGGGTATCTCTGACCAGACATTTCATTAGTGAACTTCTTGGCCAAATGAAACAAGGCCATTCAATCAACTCAGTAGTATTTGCTTGCCTGTCGAACAGTAACTTTTTAATATCACACACGATAGACCCAAAAGTTTGAGTAAAACTTTGAAATAACACCCACTACAAATTTTGTTAATTTTATGAAAGTGTGGGGTGCTCTTGCTTTTGGGGAGTGAGAATGAGAGAAAAATATAATTTGACTGTTTCTGTTTCTCTAGTCCACGATGACAAAGTCTTCCCTGAAAAGGACTACAGTTCCTATTTAAGACTTCAGTCCATGACTATATGGACTTTGAATCAAGCCTGCTCTGTGTGGCTTGATTCAACAACAATCACAACAACAACAACAACACCACCACAATCAACAACAACAATCACAACGACTCAGTAATTCTTTATTTGCCAGGTTCACATCCATATTTAAAATCGCTTTGTGGGGTGAAATGCTGAAAATACAAGCATTAGAGTCTAAGCACCTAGTACTCTCTGCAGTGAGGGACGTGCACATACAATGGCTAAAAAGCTGTCCACTACAAAGCGTTTTTTTTAAAATCACTTCACCTCTCCAAAAGCATGAATTAGTTATTAGGAAGGAGAACTTCTTAATATGTGTGTGGTAGTAGGTATCTGGCTTTGGCTATAAAGTATCTAAACCATGGCACTTCCAGTCGGCACAGTTCACACACACATCCTCAGCCCAAATACTGTGTCCCAACCTATAGTTCTTGTTAGAGAATAAACAAAGCGTGCTCATGTCTGCAGCCTGTAGCGTCTGAGAGGCCTATAAAAGTCTTACAATGCATCTTCAAAACAGTTTAATATGTAATAACAGAGCTGTGAGTTTTTTCCCCAGTCTACATAGTTCATTAGTTGGACAGACAAAAAAGAATGCCATCAATTTAGACTCAGGAAAACCCCTAAGTCCCACAGAATCTCATTGCTTAACTAAACTAGTATTTTAAAGGAGCTGTGGCTGATCTCTCTGGGAAGAATAATAGCCCTTAGAGAAAGCCTGTTGAAGGGAAAAATGTATTCTTCCCAGCACTGAAGGTTTCCCAAACCTCAGCTTCCTATCAGCTTTATACAAATGACAGTTCTATACCCGCTTTGCTCATCCTCACGTATTTACCGCTGCGGTTGCAACATGCTAGTCACAAACTGCTGTTGTACTTACTTGATGGTTACTCTGTTGGACGTGTCCTGCAGATCACCAGGATCAAAAAGCTGAGATTCTTTAAGTCCCAACTCTTTGCAGCCTCTTAAGAACAAGATGATATTATCCTGAAATGAGGCAAAAACAAACAAACAAAAAACCTTTTACTACTTCTTCATTAAAAAGAAAATAAAAAAAAAAATCACGCTGAACCAATCTGTCCCTAACTCAGAAACAGCTCCTGAACACTCATATCACTAGCTAAATGAAGAACCAAAGACATTCCCAGTCACACAATTTAAGTAGTCAGTACACGTTTTGTTTGAAAACCAGAAAAATATGAAATAAGGTTGGGTTTTTTTAGTACATAACTGCAACAAGCTTGTTGACTTTTCTCTTTCCAGACCCAGATGTTGGCAACTCCTGTAACTGAAAAAGTCCTGCTTATTTCCCCACCTACTGCTGTAGGCTGCCAACACAGCTTCAGCATGTTACGGGGCAGGAAAGAAAGAGGTGGATTTCTGAAGCCAGCAGGAAGGGTAGATATCTAACAGCCCACCACCACTTAAGCAGTTTGCTCAGAAAACATTTTGCACGTCGATACGAACAAGCCATTTACTCCTCGTTAACTCAACTGGTCTCTTGTCTCTGTAACCTCAACCGGCCAGAAGCCATTGGGCAAAGAGGTGGGTGCCTTCCGCCCAAATAAAATGCTTGAAGCTACACTTTGCGTGACCACTGTCCGGAAGAAGAAATATTGCCAACTCTAACACATTTTATGGAGGATTTCCACTTTTCAGAGTGTAAAAAAATAAAATCAGTAACTAAGAGAGATGATGCACAAACTGACCCAAACCCTTTTCAAATCAAATACCAGCGATGACACAAGGGTTTGCTCCGAGGGGATTAGATCTGTAGGTGTGCGTGTACATTTAATAAGTGTTTTATACTTACTTACACATATGCACATACACCGCCTCCCTTCTATAGAACCAGTGTCTTATGCAGATAGATCTTGAAGGTCAGCAGAGAACAATTTTTAGATATATACACTGCTAGATCAGCAGCCGATGACAGATGTGTGGACAAGTACAGATATAACGTACTCCCTGATATTTTCCGAGGCCCCTCATCTCAAACCTCAAACTGGAGGTGAGCTGCCACGTGAAGAGTCACAGAGGGGCAGAGATCTTGGAAGCAGAGGAGCCGGGGGCAGCGTCCACCTCCTGCTCACCCTGCATGACTGAGTAGGGCTGGAGAGCAGAGCTCTCCCTGCATCTGGTCCCAGGCCTTTGTTTGGGTGTCAGGGCCACAGCTCCCGGGGGGGGGGAGCCCTGTTGACTCTGTCGGGGCGCAGTGATCGGCATGCTAATCGCTGCGGCTCTCTGCATGCCAACGCTCTCGCACACAAAGCTCACTGTCACCAGCCACACCACAAAAAAATACGGACTTGGAAATATAGAGGAGTCCAAATCTCCCTTTCTTTACTGGCTGGAACTTAACAGCTCTGGAGGAGAGCCAGGGGGAAAGGAACAGCAGTCAAGAGAGCAGAGAGCCCATAACCCAGAGAAGCAGCATCATTCATGACATGAAAAGTTGCTTGTAAAATTCCCCATCTGGCTTACTGTTTGCATTATAATTTTTCCAACTGCATCGTGAATAACTCATGTGTTTAGCCTTTGATGGAGGATAGTTCTAGTCACTTCCAAACAGTGGGTGGAGCAACGTGTAAATCTAATAAAAATGCAAAAGCACTAAAAAAAAATAATTCCTAACAGTATTTCCTAACAAAAATATACAAGACATATGAACACAGTAACCTAATAGGTTTAGAAAACAATCAAAGCAGGGGGAACTCTGGGGATAACCAATTGCACCCATCTTTACGCCAGAAGTTCACATCCAAGTTACGATAAGCAGTAACAAAAATATCAGCCATTTGGCCACTGTGTAGTTTGGAAACTCGGTTCTTCTGTTGACGAACAAATATCCACTTCTCAAAAAACAGTGTCACAACCCTATGCCTTTTTTCATGCATGCTTTTATTTTGATGGTCATCAGAAAGATGTTTGCCAACAGTCATTAACCCTGTCACCCAAACAATTCCACTAAACTTTTCCTGGTTTGCTCCAGTACAGTTGAAATTCTTACTGGTTAGTTCTGTGATCACACTGGAGAACAACACTCCTAAGCCACTAAAACGAGAATGGAGTCTTATCATCAACTCCCTGCAAAGTTTTCTCTCAGGAACACTGCACCCTGCATTGGCCAAGTCCTGGTTTCTTCAGTTCCCAGAAAATTTTGCTTATGTGCTTTGAGAGAAATTATAGTTCCACATCTGTCCACTGTAACTACTCATTTTTTGTAGTCACCTAAAGTGTCGCTTCTTTGTTGCTGCTGAAGAAACTCAGAGGAAAGAAAGTTTACAAGCAACAATGTATATAAAACATCCTTACTTTAAGTAAGTGACTGAAAACACAACTAACATGCATGTCCAGCTCCTTACAACTTGGCAGAGTTAAATAGGTCACGCAAATGGGTCACACTGCCACGGCAAGGAATGCAGGGCGGCCAGCTGCTGTGCCTCAATTATCAGGGCAGTATCCATCACAGCGGTCTCAAAAGACACACGGCCAGAATTTGGTCCATCCGGCAGCCCCTGCTAGGCACTACCATACTATTCCTCAGTACGCGAAATGGAGATGATATGGCCTTTCCCCGAGTGGTCACTCGCTGCAGTCACAGAGTTGGAGGAGATGGAGGATGGGTCAGTTGGACAGCACCTCATTTCCTACAGCCCCAGAGGACCTCCAGCTGCCTCCTCTTGGGTTTAATCCACATCACTATTCAGTCAAAAATCTTCTGGCCTTTGCCCTTCATGCACCCAGAGGAAGGGCGAGCTTCTGGGTTACAGTCTGAATTTATTTTGAAAATGTCATCTATTTGTTAACTATAACATTTTATATCTATATAGATATTTCTACGTAACAATAACTCTATTATCTATAGATCTATAATATTTGTATCTATAGATACCTATACAGTTCTATCCATGTTTTCTCTATAAAGTGACATCAACACCAGACAGGCAGCTTACTGAAGACAAATGCTGCAGTGTGGTGACAGACAGAGGACACAAGCACAGGACAGACTGATAGGTTAAACCCCAACCCTTTTCTGCTTGCCTAAGCAGAGTCCTGACAGTTACTATTAGATCAGCACTATAAGCCATGTCATTTACTTGTAAGTATTGGAAATTAAAAAGGCTATTAATGTAAATGTTTTGCTATGCTGAATTTCAGAACAGAAAAATCAACCCACACGCCAAACATTACACACTCCGGGGCAAAGCTGGCCACGATCCGGCAAGAAGGGCTGGGGAGGAGCAGGAGCGTGGGGCACTCATTCCCCAAGTCCTGAGCCAGAACGTTGCGTGGGACGGAAGGGGCTGTAAAGCTGCTCCTGCTCTCACAACTGCATTCTAACACCATCACCTTTTCATCCTTTCTGGTGTGTAACCTGCACGACTCACCTCTACAAGATCACTTTGCAGGTAATGCAGGGAGAATGGGAGGCAGAGGGGTTACAACTCCATGAAGGTAGAGGGAGGGAGGAAGAAAAAATATGCTGCTCACTCATAATTTATTTTTTCCTGCTTTTAAAACACTGATAACCCATGTGGTATAAATATGAAAAAAATGGTCACTTCTAATGCAGTTTTTTGTGCATTAGGTCATTTCCTTCACACATGGAGTACAAAATCCTGAACCCTGTAAAAAAACTCCCAGAAATTGGCAGTTGTGCAGGACAGACACCCTGGAAAGCCACCACAAATTCACACAGTAGCACTGCCAACGCACAAGATAGTTCAAGCCAGCGAGAATCAAATATTCACAGCAGGCAAATTCTCTCCATAGGATCTGCTGATCAGATGCAATGGCAAACAGCTTGAATTTGGCCCACGTCCATTCCTTTCATCTGCCACAATAGTATACAAAATATTCTCACTGTATCCATGCTGCAAACCGGACCTGCAGCTTATCGCTGTGGAACCATCATTTGTCAGATGTGCTACTACATGGCCTGGATGAGATAGACAGATAAGCTCGGGGAAAACAAAAGCAAGCCAAGCTGTATGTCTGCACAGAACGCCAAATAAAACGCCAAGCGCATGCCACTTCTGCAAGTCGGAGATATTATTAGTTGCCAGTAGCACCGCGCTGTTTTGCAGGACAGCTGCAGACAAACAGGTGGCCTTCTTCATTTCGGGAATGCTGAAATTTTCCCTGTTCCAGAATAAATTGGAAGATTTCTAAAAATATATCTATAATTTCTGAGCAATTTCCAATACAGACTCTTAAAAGCCTTTCGTTTACTCTCCACATTTCTTCCTAATTCCCTCATTTTTCCATTTTATATAAATAATTAGTGGTGATTATATATAAAAGCAATGGTTCTTGACTGATTCACAAGAAGAAGGAAAGGAAACACTGAAATACTCAGTTCAAGTCTACCAGGAAAGAGCTTTTATGTGAGAGGCTGGGAACTTTTTGTCTTTTCATATATACACACACATAGATGTTTTTACTATTTATCCAATATGCTTTGCTATGTTTTACTATATAAGTTCTACTGTTTATACAAGAAGCTTTACTTACAGATACGTACTGTATGTACAGTAAAACTACACTTTGACAAAAGACTCTTTTCCGTGACTGATTCCCAGTCGACAGATTTGGAAGCAAGTCAGCCGCAGTCAGGACAGATTCACTCAGAAACTGAGGATGCTCATCTCCAGAAGCTGAAGGATGACAGCACACCGGAACGGAAGGCAAATCCCCCCAACTCAGCACTAAGGCTGCCTACACCCCGAAACGACCCTGGCACGCAGTAACCTCACCCAGCGAAAAGGAAACGCTACACGGGGAAAACCAGAAGGGGAGCGACGGCGGGGCCGGGGAGGGAACGCGGGACTTA